TACTTATGAAGGCTTATCTAACTTGCTTGTTTCATATTCCATGTCCATATTGTCAGTTCTGAATTAAAAGTTTGCTGAAATGTATTGAACTGCTCTTCTTTTTTTGTGGTGTAGCAGCCTATCCCTATTCTTTCAATGCTATTTTTCTTTCTGGTACCAGATGTTGTTAAAGAAGTAATGCACAGAAACACATCTACTTTGTTAACTGAGATATAGCTAAACCTTCTTTTAAAGTTTGCAAAGAGATCTTTGTTTCTATGGCATTTCCTGCTTTGGTTAATAAATGATGAATCTGAACTCCTCTCTTGACCTTTGTTCTTTTATTTTTAAAAACAAAGACAGTGACAGCTGACCATGTCAAGTTTCTTTGATCTACCTTTGTCATGGTTTAATGTTAGAAGAAAATGTCAAAATTTCTTTCTAATATTAAACTTCATGACAAAGATACTGCCCTGGTATTGCCGGATGATAAAGCTATTACTATTTTAAAATAAAAAAAATACATAAACAGAAAGAATAAAAAACAAGAAAGCACTCAAAATGAAAAAAATAAAATAAAATAAAATAAAGAGATTGCGACCAAAAAATGCCTTCACTTGCACATGATGGGATTGGATCAGAAAGTTTTTGTTTGTTTTTTAAATATTTATGTAGTTAAATTTTTATGTCACTTTTCTTCAGGTTTGAGGAGAAAGGAAGAAGGGACAAACTTGTTCACATCTAACTCCACTCACCAAATTGGGAAGCAGTCAGTCAGTAGTAGAGATGTGAAAGCCTGGAAAAAAAATTGGGGGGAAACCAGATTTCCCCTCACCCATTTTTTTTCTGAATCATGCTAGAATGAAACATTCCGTAATTGATTTTCTTCCTTTTTTTTCATTTTTTTCAATTTGTTTTCTGTTTTTTCCCAGCCCCCCCCCCATTTTTTTCTGGGGGTTTTCTGGGCCTTCACATCTCTAATCAGTAGTGAATTTGCTAGATGGTAACCTAGTAAATTATGTAGGAAGAGTAAGCAGAGCTGGCATTCTTATTCTTATTATTCTTATTATTCTTATTCTTATTATCATTAAAATATTTTATCCCAATGTATATCAAAAGATCTCAGAGTGACATACAGACAAAATCAACACCACCAACTTAAAACAATGTAAAACAATATATATAATTTAAATGGACTAAAAATGGGGATGCAGTAGCTCAAGTGGTTAAGATGCTGACTCTGTTGATTGCAAAATTGGCAGGTTGGCAGTTCGAGGCCGGGGTGCTGCATGATGGAGTGAGCTCCCATCACTAGTCCCAGCTTCTGCCAACCTAGCAGTTGGAAAGTGTGCAAGTGCAAGTAGATAAATAGGTACCACAGATTCTGTGCAATCGTACTGGCCACATGATCACAGAGTAGTCTCTGAAAACACTGGCTCTTTGGCTTAGTAATGGAGATGAGCACTGCCCCATACGGTTGGACACGACTTAACAACTTTGTCAACGGGGAATACCTTTATCTTTACCTTAAAAACATAGGCTGACACCCTGCTCAGTACTGATAATGTTTAAGGCAGGCTTACAACACCATAAATATCAACCCCCTCTGAACAAATCTTGGCAAGGAACCGCCATGTTTCATGTTAAGAACACCATAAGTCAGAAATTACTTGAAGGTATACAACAACACAAACAAATTATTGCAATTCACATTTATGATAATGGTGTTATTTCAGCTATCACAAATCCACACACCCCAATCTATTTTAGAAGCCAGGCAACTGCACCAACCAAAGGAGTTCTGAGATACTTCAGAGCAGGGCACTGACAAAAGGATGCCTTCACACACCCACACCCCGCTAGTGAGGCATGGTATGGAAAGCAGTTGTGACAAGACCCTGCATTTTCCAAATGCATTATGAAATTCATAACATGCTTGTTGCCTGGAAATGGTGGGAACCTAACATTTCAGGAACTGTCAGGTCAAGTACAAACCAAAAAACTAATTATTTATGATTGCCCACATGACATCTTGTTGGCTGCCCAAGAACTGGCACCAACTCACAGAAAAAAAAATACAGTAAAGACAAGTGTATGTCCAAGTGGGGTAAAAGCTGTTCCCAAATGTCATATTTTTGAAAGAGAAATAATGCTTTATTTCGCTTGAACACACCTATCCTAATCATATTTACTATGAAGTAAATCCTGCTGATTTTCTTGGGATTACAACCTTATTTTAATTTCAAGTTTGAGAGACAGCTATAATATGCATGTGAAACCACTGATGCAGCTGCTGCCTTTTACTTGTATGTTATCTCTTGGGTCATATTTAGCCTGAATCAACTGAACAAAGCCAAAGTATTCTGAAACCTAACAGTGACTTCCTCAAGTACAAGCTTTCCTGTTCTTTTGTTCCAAAGAGGATTAGCCTCAGACAGGTTTCAATAGACTAAACATGTGGCATTAAAATAATTTGTTCCATGAAAATAGGAAGCCGCCTTATGCCTTGTCAAACCATTGAGTCATCTAGCTCAGTCTTATCTTCATTGACTGGCCATGGTTTTCCAGTGTTTCAGATAGGAGTGTGTGTCTCAGGCTTATTGGAAAGTGTCATGGATTGAACCTGGGATATTTGGCATGCAGAGCATATGCTCTATAACAATGTTGGCTCATGGATTGAGCAGGAGGCAGCACTCCCCCCCCCCCCCCCCCCCCCCACAGCATTTCAGCAACCCCTCTTCTGTTCCATGAGCTACCTAAGCCTGATGCATGGCACATTGAAGCTTGCATGATGGATTTTGATAGACAGTTGCTCTCTTTTTCACCACTCTTTAAAGTCCCCACATTTACCTCAGGCAGCCAAAAACATATAGGCCATGAACAGGATCTGTGAAAATTGACCCATTTTCATTCTGCACATCTTCTCTGCAAGCATAGCCCCCACCCTTTCCCTCATATTCAATATTAAGAGAAGGAAATTATTATCATAACTGCACCGTGCATTGGATAAGACTGTTTATGGGAAAGGAGCTGGAAGACTATTGTAACAAGGCATTAGGTAGTATGTTTCATTCTACCCAGGTCTAAGAAGCCACAGTTAAATTTCACACATGTTTGATAAGCACTGTTAGTTACTGGGATGGTATAAGTCTGAGAAATTAGGGAGGAATCCTTGTCTTCTCAGGCTTTGGTTGGTATAAACATTGCTCTTGGAGAGATGTCCAAGGACAGTTGATAAGAGTTGGGAACATGACTTTCAAAGACAAGTGTGATGGATGATCTGTCATAAGGCCTAAACACAAAGGTGTGCTAATTAAGAGAGAAGTGTAAAATCACACACAGACCAAGGAGCTTTTAATGTATAAATAAGACTCCTCCAGCTATGCTCAGGGAGCTTCAACACAGATCTTGAACTAAGGTGGTGCTACATATTTGTAGGCCAGTGAGGGTATCTCTACTTCTGTACTGGGATTCCCAGCAGCTGAACAGAGAACATGAGTCTGTCCAAGTGCTTTTTCTGTATCCTTGCCATATATTCTTTTCTGTGTAAGTAGGCAATAAAGCTTTAAACTTTTCTCATAGGTGTGGTTATTGCTCTTGATCCTAAAAGAACCTCTTGCCCTTGGCAAAGCAGTCTGCAGATCTGCAAAGTGTCTAATGAAACAAACACATGGTTGTAGATTATGAGTTATTAAGAGGGAACACTGATGAAGTGGAAGAATAATCTTGCACATATGTCTCAGATGTAGCACTGGAGGCAAGTACTCCTACAGTAAGTTGTGTATACCAAGGTAGGCTTATATGAGTTATAATTAGGCTTGCCAGCTGGCAGGGCACCAGCTGAAGTTTCAGGAAATCATTACGCTTCCATGAGTTCCCAATGGGGAGACAAAGCTCAGGGCCCACACTAGTGACAGAGGAGAGCGTTTCATTTTTTGAGTACGGGGGCAGCCAATGCTTTCCATGTCAGGGATGCAGTGTATCTGCTCTGGGTTTAATCATATTTAAAAAGAGTTATCCTAGAATCCTAGAATCATAGAATCACGGTGCTGAACCCCAAATAACAGGAGTGAACTGTAGAGAAAGACTCAGGGTGCATGTACTTTGACCCATTATATTAATTGGAGCAAGGTTCCACAAGCCCAGACAGCAATAATGCAGAGTCTGAGAGGAAAAAACTTTCCTCAAGTTCCACCAACAGCATGGCGCTTGGAAAAGCTTCCCATCTCTTGTGTGGGTTGAGGATGAGTGTGTGTGGGATGCAACAATTGGCAGGGATAATCATTTTCCCCCAGCACTCAGTTGTTGTTACATGTATCTTCAAGACAACTCTGACTTATGGTGACCCTATTATAGAGAGGTGGTTTTTTGGCAAAATCTGTGCAGTGGAGGTTTGCCATTGCCTTCTTCTAAAGTTGAATGTGAGTTGCCAAAGATCACACAGCCACCTTCCATGGCTGAGCAGGGATATGAACTCTGGTCTCCCAGTGTTCCAGTTGTTGTTGTTATCCTGCGTTTGACCCAGTATGGCAGCTTTGGAGCATTGCAGATTGGCCTAAAGGGCCACCTGGGGCTGGGGTTGCCCCAACTCCTGCCCAATGCTGTCCTGATGCCATGCACCCATACACACGGCACGCAGTGTCAGGAAGCCCTCCTGGTGCAGCGTGCAGACATGCTGCGCCAAACAGGCACAGAAGAGCCGCAGCACCGGCTCTTAGGGAAGCCTTTTGCCATCCCTAAAAGGAGCACCATTTTGCTGCTCTTTTAGGGGCAGCAAAAGGGAGGATAGGGCCATGCCGTGTGGTTGCTGCAGCCCCAATCCGCAGCTAGCAGGGGTGGCCCAGAGCTGCCTGCCTGCATAGCCCCTTTGTGTGTGTTGTCTGCCTTCAAGTCATTTCTGATTTATGGCAACCCTAAGGCATGGGATTTTCTTGGCAAGATTTGTTCAGAGGGAGTTTGCCATTGCTATCTTCTGAGGCTGAGAGTGTATGACTTGCCCAAGACCACCTAGTGGGTTTCATGGCCAAGTTGGGAATTGAAACCTGGTCTCTAGAGTTATAATCCAACACTCAAACCACTGTGCCATGCTGGCTCACCAAGGCAGCTTACAAAAGCTAAAAGAAATACAGCTTTAAAATTCACATAGTACAATTCAAAATATAATTAATCTAACAGCAAAATTAAAAACAGTTAAAAGCATGACAATTAAAGGACAATAACAATTAAAAAGTACAGCACATTCTGAATGATCCTTTTCTCATTAAACCAATCAGCCATCAAAGCCCTCCTGGAACAAAATGATCTCCACTTGCTTTCAAAAGGATAGGAGAGAGACTGCCAATCTTAACACTTCTAGGAAGGGAAATCTAGAGCCTGATGGCAACCACTAAGAAGGCCCTTTCCTTTATTTAAGTGCTTGGGAAATGTGAAATCCCCCCACCTCACCCCCATTTGATATTCACTTACTGTAGTTGTCAGTGCAAATGTGTTTTTATGGATGTCATGAGCAATACTACTTGGCTGTGAACCTTGGCTGTGGCAACAGTAATTAGGATTAACTGAATATCTCCCCACTACTTTTCTGGCCCTTTAAAACAATTTTTAAAAGTTTCTCTTTAATTCACTTTACTACATCCTTATTAACCAGGCAGATTACTTTTCAGCAAATACTCATATGTATGTGTTTTATCTCCATTTAATTCCATACAGAGAAAGGAATGGATAACACAATAGATAACAGATGAAATGCTTCAAGCAGTTAAGGAAAAAAGAGAAATAAAACAAAAGGGAGATTGGAACAAAATCAGAACCAGGAATGCAACTGTTGCATGAGTAGTATGCAAGGATAAAGGGACAATTATAATAATTAATGCAGAGAAACAGAAGACAATAACAAAAAAGAAAGAACAAGAGATAACTCAAAGGGAAGTTAAAACCAAAGGCCAGGATGCTCTATGATAAGATGAGGAACTAGTATAAGACCAAGAAGAAATAAAAAGATGTTGGTTGGATACAGTGGACAGCCAAAAAGACAAACAAATGGGTCCTAGAACAGATCAAGCTTGAACTCTGGAACCAAAAGATGATCAAGCTGAGGCTGTCATACTTTGGCTACATTATGAAAAAGTAATAATGCTAGGAAAAGTAGAAGGCAGTAGAAAGAGTGGAAAACAACATGCCAGATGGATAGACTCAATCAGGGAGGCCACGGGCCTGAGTTTGCAGGACATAAGCAGAATAGTGGAGGGCGGGGGGGGGCTTGGAGATGTCTCATCCACATGGTTGCCATGTGTCAAGATCAACTCATGGGCAGCTAACAACAATTCCCTAATTTCCTTCCCCTTCCCTTCAGCATAATGTTTGCCCTGTCAATGCCTATATAAATCAACTTTCCTCCTAATAATAGCTGCAAATGTATTTTTTTTTTAAAAAAGAAGGCCTGTCACACATTCACACCTCCATACACCAAAGAAATAATGAAAAAAGCAGGAAAGCCCAGAAGAAGAAAGGAGGTGGGGGTAGAAAAGTAAAGAATATTAAAGAAAGACAGCGAAAATTGTTACTTTGAAAAATCTTCAGTAGATGAATGCTCCCTGAAGCCCTTCTAACACTTTAAAGTACCAAATGCCTCTAACATTACTCATTCAAACCTACAGCAATGTCCTGACATTTTGTAATTCTCTCCTTCATGCCTTTCTTCACATCAATGATGTGGCCTTCACTTATCTGTTGTTTTCAGAGATATATCTGTATCTGTATTTAAAGAAGTCAAAAGGCTGTTCCTTACACAGTGCTGCTACCTCCAGTAGTTCAGTTAGGTAATTTTAGACTGTGGTCTATATCCAACAAAACATTAACCAAGTGAAAATCCTTGCTAGCACCATTGTGCTGGATAGCACTGCAAGTGCTTTAATAACATCAACTGTATTGCATACCATGCTTGCACTAACTCTAAAAATGCACAAATGAGACCATAATGATGCTACCACAATGAAATCATTATATCCAGGATGTAAGAAAGGAGTATGAGCCAGAATGGCATAGTGGTTTCAATATTGGACTAGGACTCCAGGATGGAGTTTGAACAAAATGGATGGCCATAAGCATGTCATATTCTCTCAGATCTAATCTGCATTACAAGTCTAATTAAAACTGCTTTAACTGCCATGGCTCAATGCTATGGAATTCTGTGATTTGTAGTTTGTTATGGCACCAGAGCTCAGTAATCGAGAAGGCCAAATATCTCACAAAACTACAACTCCCAAGATTCCATAACATAAAGTCATGGCAATTAAAGCAGTGCCAAACTGCATTATTTCTGCAGAGTAGATTAGATCCCCTTCTCAGAGGAAGGCAAGGAAAAACCTTCTCTGAACAAATCTTACCAAGAAAACTCCATGATAGAGGACAGAAACAAATTGAAGGCACACAACATCAAGAAGGGTGAGCAATGTAAATAGGAAACATATTTACATATTAATAAGTGAAACAACTCACATTGCCATCTGAACAGATGTCAGTGTGAGTTACTTCACTTATAACAATAAGCAAAGATGTTGCATTTGTGGGTTCCCCCATTCATTCTGAACAGGCTTGTGGACTTCTGGACCAGAGTTCTGCTGTGGCTAAATCACAGGCTATCATGTTGCAACAAAGTTGAACCCTCACATTTCTTACATGGGTTATTTACACTAAGAATTGTGCAGGGGAAGTACAAGGTGTCTTGCTGCCTGAAGCAGGTGGCTCATCGTACCTAATGCAAAGATAACCCTGGAGTTGAGCCAGACTGGGCATTGTCAATCTACTATTAACTGCATTCTTTTATTTCTATGTGAAGCTTCATTGTGAGAGAAGACATCTTTAACAGTTCAAAGAGAATGTCCTTCTGTTTCTCATGGTCAAACTAGAAGAAAGGAGACAAGCGCCACATGCTCTGATATGGTCAACTGTTTATTCAGTGTGTAAAAAGCCCAACGCATCTTGACCACCCTAGGCCTTCTTCAGGGGCTGAAAACCAACCTAAATGCACATAAAATATAGTATTTTAAAAAAATTGAAAAAACACTGAATAAACAGTTGACCATCTTAGAGCACATGGAACTTGTCACCTTTCTGTTTGCTGATTGACTGCATGACTACGTGCTTTCATTTCCTTGATTTTACAAACTGGAAGAAACACATTTGGTTAATAGTAATCTTTTAATGTCTTCGTAAGTAAGCCATTTTCCTTTATGAAGTATTTCTGTTCTAAAAAAAGCTTCTTGAGGGGAAACCTATCTCGGGATTTTTGTATACCAGAGCTCTTTATATTTATGCCAGATTT